ACCCATACGTTCTTTTGAGCATCCAAACGGATTCCCAACTCTTCGTTGGGCGGAAAGACGAAAGGCCACGCTGGGCAACAACCTGGCCGACTTCTCCTTTGCTGCTGCTCAGGCTACGCTCGACTTGCCTGTGGCGTTCATGCTTCTGGAGCAGCCCGAGGATCTTGGTACTGTCCGTCCACGGCAGCGACCCTCTTCTATGTGGCAAAGAAAAGGGTTTCAAAAGCTACGTCGGCGTCCGCGAGCTCGACATGTCGCCTTTCATCAAAGGGACTTTGGTGTGTTAACTACGCCAAGCCTACACGTATCCTGTTGCGGTCATCTGTGGTTCTGCCTCATTTTATGTATGAACGACTGCCATCGTTTGACAGGGATGGTTACTACAAAGGACCGTTGCCGCGGCATCCTGACGCGCAACCCATGCGCTCTGAACCCGGAACATTCATCACCACCGGCGCCGCAGCATGGCCTTCGGACATGTGCAAATGGGTGGCAGAAGCCATCTTTCATGACTTTCTGGCGCTCGTCAACGTTGCTGGCGAGGGGGCTGAGAAGACTGCGCGGCCACGTCAGGTTGAGCCGGATGGTCTGATCACCTTCAACTTCGACACTGTTGATATCAGGAATGCGTCTGTGGATCTTGGGGAGGCGGAATCAATTGCATTGGCATGTCTTGTCCGAGGTCGGGCCACTGCTGAGGACTTGAAGGCTCTTTCGGACGCGCTTCCCGACGAGGTTCGGGTCAGGGAAGCAGTGTGAGGGACAGAAATCCTTCACCACGGGGGCCTACATCCACGGTGACCAGGTGGGAGTGAGGAGGAATGTGCGTATGTTCCCTTTCTCCACCAGGCTCCTGGCAAAGATGCTGGACGGGCCTTCTCATCTTTGGCCTTTTTCAGAGAGGTTCAGCAACCCCCACACAAGGACACCACGAATGGGCCGCACGATAACCTGTTGCTGGCTTGCTCGGACTTCGAGAATGGGGGGCTATGGACCGAGACGAGAGGTGCACGACTTCCAGGATTATCAGGGGCCGCGAGGTGGAGGGAGAGATCCTATCGTGGAAGGATGGGAAAATCTCCTTCGATGCTCACCTCTACTTGCCGGACACCGTGGCGGAGCTTGGTTCCTTGCTGAAGGAAACACGGACACCTGATGATGCGGTGTGTGCGAAGGCGGACAAGGTCGATCCAGTATATCCGCCGGTGCCTGGCGGTGAGGGCCCATCGCGAATTTGTCGGGAGCCTTGGAAGCAGACTTTCCATGATGGAGCCGGGCTATGCTCCCCAGGACGCTGGGATCCTTCGCAGGCTCTACTGTGAGGAGGCTGGATGGAGAGAGCTCAGGGGAAAACTGGAGGAGATCGTGGTGAACCACGCCGGTGGTCCCATCCCTTTTGACCGGGTCGTCTTCGAAATGGCTACAAAGGGTGAGGCTGGATGCAGCCTGGTCTCGGACTCGGCTCTGCAGGCTGCGATTCGTTCGGCCATGATCGAACACCTTGGCGCAAAGGGTGACCTGGATGAGATCAGTCCTGGTCAACCGCTTCGGTTGAAGCTGATGTCTGCGCTCCTGCGTGATGCTGGGGACCCGGACTGGCAGGTTCTGCTTGACGCGCAACGTGGATTGCCGGTTGGGATCAAAGTCCGCTTCCTCGGACGCCGGAGGTGTATGAGGAGCAGACCTCCTGGAAACTGGAGATGGGACCCGCCGATGTGGCGAAGGCTTGGAAGGCGAACTATGAGTCGGCGGCAGAACATATTGATTATGTTCGTGAGCACTTCGATGCTGAGGTGGCCGAAGGCCTGATGCTGAAGCTGGACGAAGATGCATTCTGGCGCAGGTACGGAGACGAGGCGGCCCTCTCGGCGATTGCCGTGCTGGTGGACGAGGGGCCACCTCAGAAGAAGAGGGTTATTCATGACGCATCTCACGAGGTCATGCTGAATCACAGGATCAGATGTCTTGACAAGGTTCGCTCGCCTCGGGCTCGGGAAAAGCGCTACTTGCTCCGTTTCCTGAAGGACCATCGATGTGCTGCGCTCTCGGTCACGGGAGACATCTCGAAGGCACACAGGAGGTTCCGCCATTCTCCCGATGAATGGGGCTACTTGGGACGCAAGGCATCGGACTCAGACGCCTTTGTGTACGTGAATTGTGTCGGGACGTTCAGGGTGGCATCGGCAGGGTACTGGTGGAGCCGTATCTCCGGAGGAGGGATACGATTGATGCATCACATCACCGGCAGGCGCCTTCTTGAGCTCCTTCTCTACGCTGACGACCTTAAGGCGGTCGCTGGGGACCGTGCGGGACGGCGTGGGATTGTCATCTCTTATGCTTCACTGGCGGCGCTGGGCTTCCCTTTTAAATGGGCAAAAACCTGTGGCGGCTTCGTGGTGGAGTGGGTAGGCTTCGAGACGGCTTATTCCTCCTTCAAACTCGGTCTTTCCCAACGCCGGGCAGAGTGGCTGATCCGCTGGTGCATGGATGTCGCCACGTCTGCGCGGACTACATGGTCTGACTTCTCACGCGCACTGGGGAGGCTTGGCTTTGGGGCAAATGCTTTGTCCTGGGAGCGGCCGTTTCTTGGGCCAATGTACTCATGGTCGGCAGCTACTCGTGGCAAGCATGGCTCCCTCACGGCTCCGGTAATGATCAGGGTGATCCTCAGGTGGCTGGCTGAGAGGTTCCAGGAAGGGGGCCGCCTGCAGGAACCCATGACGTTGACTGAGGCGTCCGGGAATGTTGAACTCACCTTCTTTTCGGGCGCAAAGGCGGAGGATGGCAGGGCTTATGTCGGTGGCTACCTCTGGAACGGGCACGAGGTACTGTCTTGGTACGCGGCAGAGGTCCTGCCGTCTTGGGCTCCCTGGGCTTTCATTAAGAATGATCCTCAGAGGACTACTGCAAGCCTGGAATTGCTGGGCACGCTCCTCTGCGTAAAACTTTGGGGAAGCAGGATGTCAGGACGATCTCGGAGCACGGGAAGCATCACCGGGGCGACGGACAATCAGGGCAACACGTATGCTGTCACAAAGCTGATGTCCACCAAGTACGCCCTTCCCATTTTGCTGATGGAATTGTCGGAGACTCTTAGGCTTGGGTCCATCTTCTTGGACTTGCGTTGGGTTTTCAGGGAGCGCAATCAATGGGCAGACGATCTTACCAATGGCGAGTTCGGTCACTTTCCCATGGATAAGAGGCAGGAGCTTGATGCTCATACAATGCGGTGGCACGTTCTTGGGAGGCT